GGCGAGGCGGGCGGCGAGGCGCGGAGGAAGAGCAGCTCCGGTGTCACCGAGAGCGCCAAGAGGCAGTGTGTCAGTCCGAACTCAGCGAGACGCAAATGCAAGCAGAGCGCGGCGGAGCGAGGCAGAGGCTGGCCACGCCTTATCACATCGCTCCGTCTCTCTCGCACGCCCTGAGCGCCTCCGCCCAGGCCCGTGAGTGCGACAGAGACGGAGCGACAAAGCCAGCGGGCCGATTCCGAACGTCTGCTTTCGTCTCGTCTCTCTCTCTCTCTCTCTCTCTCTCTCTCTCTCTCTCTCTCTCTCTCTCTCTGGGGACTGCGCCGACTGCGCGCGACGCGTGCGAGGGAGACAGAGAGTGGGCTGGCCGCGCTGGCCGCCGCCACGGTCACGGCGACACCCACGGCCGCATAAGCAGCGACGACGACGACGCGACCAACACACTGCGCGACTTATCGCACTCGGACGGTGCTCGTCTTGCAGCCGCACGATAAAAATGCACCGAATCGTACCAGGCAGAGAGAGAGAGAGAGAGAGAGAGAGAGAGAGAGAGAGAGAGAGAGAGAGAGAGAGAGAGAGAGATAACGGCTGGCTGCCACTTCCGGTGTGCGCCTGCCTGTAGAAGTGCCGAGCCCGGCCTGTTACGGGGTAACTTCAAATCTCGCGCCGCCTCTGTCACCAAGCCCGCGCACGGCCAGCTAGAGCGCGAGGCGCGAGCGGCGCGATGATGAGGCAGTAGTGGCGGCGCCCGGCGGCGCCCGGCGGGCCCTTCGCGAGCCCGCGGAGCGGCCCTCCAGCCGGAGAGACACGGGTAGCTCGGGGCAGTCGTCCGAAGTCGCTAAGTTCGCTAAGGTGTGTGAGACCCGACCAGTCCGTGTACTTAATCAGTCAGAATATATACCCAGTTCAACCTAACGAGTATCTATCAATCTCACCCGATTTCCTGAACCCGGAACCAGACCATCGAAACAGGCCGAGCCGACAACCCCGCCGCGCACCGCGCACCGCGCACCGCGCACCGCCATGCGGGGTTGCGCCACCAATCCAACCCCTCGCCGCCAGGATAACCTGCTTCTTCGGGGCGTGCTGCAAGGACACAACAACAACAGCAACAACAACAACAACAACAACAACAGACAATCGTGTTCACGCCGGACGGTAAAGCCCGCAAAATGGCCGGCCAAACGCAAAAAAATGACCTGAGCATTTACAACGCGTTGGCCCGACCAGCCTGACCTAATGTGAATAAGAGCTGGTCCGCGCGACCTCTATGGCTAGACTTGCGGGTCGCACAGGTCCAACGAAACAGGCGTCGGCCTGACCGACCTGAGTGAAGCGACGCCGGCCTATGCGGCCTGGAGGTTTTCGCTGCGACACAGGCTGGGCAGAGGCGCCGCTGACGCTACGGAGAAGGCAAGAGGTGAGGCGGGGAGGGTGAATTGCCTACCTCACAGGCTAAGGTCTGGCAGGTCGAGCAGCTATACCGCTCGGCCAGTGTGGCCTGGCTTAGACCAAGCGCGGCCTGCGCCGGACGGCACTCGGCCGCACTGACCCGGTCGGTTCTAAACACTGGCCGACGGGGACAGTCATGCAGTGTCGCGTGATTTTTGACTTTGGAAAAAGAACGTCTCAGAGCGCTGGCCAGCGTGGCCGGCCATTCTGCGGGCTTTACCGGACGGCCCGGCGAGGTGAGGGAGGACGAAAACAATCCACCTTCAAAAGGCGTCGGCGCACCGCGGGCAGCCGACGCAGCCGACTGCACGCAAAAAAATAAAAGTCAGTCCAGAGCTAACTTTCTTAGTTGGCGTTTTTTAGCACCACAGCTAAAAAAATTGCAACTCTGCTAGCGACCTCTGCTGAGTAGCGCTGCTCCTTTAGTTGAGGGTCTGCCGGAGATCGGCTTTCCCGGAACCTATATTTCTGGAGGATTCAGCTACTTCAGTTTGCTGCAGTGCTAATCAATCGCTGCAAAAATGGGATTTACAATGCAGCAAAAATGTTTAGGAGATAGGGCAAGGCTAGGTTCGTTCCGTGGCGCTTCGCTCGCGCTGATGGCTAGCAGTGAGAGATGGGTTAGTCGGGGAACGGATGCTCCCCACGTTCTCACCGTGACATCACTCATGGTCAGCAATTTTTAAAGTCTCTTGAGACACGACTGTCCCGGAGGAGCCTTACGCCTCAGGACGACTGGTCCGTCTTAGACAGAAAATCCCGCACCTTCTAATAAATATCATAATCATGAAGAATTCTACAATGCTAATGCAGCTAGAGTTGCCACTAATCTCCGTTTTCTCCATAGCTAAATTTACCCAGCTAATAATTTTTAGCTGTGCAGCTAAAAATTTTGCTGGGCCTACAGAGCTAGATAAATTAGCACTGGTGCTAACTTTTTAGCTCTGAATCGATTTATTTTTTTGCGTGTGCCTCCGAGAGTCGCCTTCGTCGCGTCTCCCTCCTACGCCCATGAGAACGCCCCATGAGTGTGAGAGAGACAGACCGAGTCAGTGTGCAGGCACAGGAAGGGAAGGCCCTGGACCTGGAGGGGCACGACGCCGGCCTCGCCTCCCCTCCCAACCCTCGCCGCGCCGCCGCGCAACAAAGAGCCGCCACCTCGCCTTCACGGCGATCGGGGTCAGGGGGTGACTTTGGGGAAAGGCGTCGTCGGCAGCCAACTGTCCGAGAGGTCGCGCCGTCCGTCCGAGCACACCGAGGACGCCGAGGACGCCGAGGACCTCCAAATGCCCAATGCACGGCGAATTATTAACGAGGCTGCCTTACCACCGTAAACACACTGCCAGCACCGCCAGCCTTCAGCGAAGTCGGCACAAAAGCGAAGCGGGGACTCGCTCGCCACTCTCTGCCTTTTTTACGAGCTTCCAAATTCGGAGGTCGGGTCACAAAGCCGCGTGGGGAAAAGAAAGGGAAACGGAAACCGTTTCAGCGACTCCAACTTTTCGGCAAATGGGAGACAAGGACGGTAAACCGGGCATCAATAGGGCAGTGCGTACTTCTTGCTGCTTCGACCGACTGACTTGCTTTCAAGGGCATGGAAGAGGGTTTTTTGGGGCATGGTGGCACGAAAAATTAAAGGAAAGGGATAAAGAGATGATAAAGCTAATTTGGTCTCGTTCGTCAAAATTTAAGGTTGCCAGGGCATAGCGTTTTCACGTTTCGTTAAATTAATTTTTTTGCCTGTTAGCCGCGAGGCCATCATTCGGTGCACGTCGCACACGCCTCGCCTTCCCATTACTCGCGTGGGCGCGCATTTCGCTAACTAGCCGACAGGACGAACATCTCGGCCCGATTCGGTTAGGCCGCCCCGCCCCGCCGCGCCCCGCCCCGCCCCGCCCCGCCGCGCCCCGCCCCGCCCCGCCCCGCCCCGCCAACATTTTCCATTCCGCGACTTTATCCCCAAGTCGCGCCACCTGCGTCGCGCCTCGGCGCCCAGCGCGCCGCCGAAGTTAAGCGAACTTGTCCCGTCCCGCGCAGGTGTCGTGCCGCCGCACGGCCGTACCGCAATGAGAACCTTCGGCCTCCGCGAATAGCAATAAGACACCAAAGTTGGCCGCGGCGGTGCGTATGATTGGGTAGAGCCGCGCCAGAAGGGCCGCGCGGTGCGGCGCGGCGCGCAGCCAGGCCAGGCAGGGGTCAGGGGCCGAAGCGGCGCAGGGGGCTCGCCGGCCGCACCAGCCGCGCCAGCATGGACCGCAAACGGGTTTCCAACCTTTAAATGTCTCGGCGACGACGCCGCACCGCGCCGAGTGGAGGCTGACCAGGCCGGCGGGAGGCTCGACCGGCTTCGAGACGCGCCGGCCGGGCGCAACGCGCCCCGATTGGCCAGGCACCAGCGCACCAGCACATACACACTTGCACGCACACACACACACATTCTCACATTCTCACACACGCACACATGCACGGTAGCAGGCGAGGCGGGCCGATCCTAATCAGCAACACGTCAAGTCGCGCTCTGCCTGCAACGCCTGCAACAAGGCCGGGAGGGACGGAGGGCGGAGCGAGGCGGCGCGCGGAGAGGACGTGTCAGCGGCCTGCCAGGCCTGCCAGGCCGGCACCACACTCGAAGCAGAGCGGACGGCAACTTTTGCAGTTTTGTGCGACCACTGGCCGGCAGACGCGCGTCGGCCTTCGCGTCGTCGGCGTCCTTGACCCACAGGTGCCGCATCGCGCATCGCGCTCCGCGACCGCCGCCTCAGCGCCGCCTCGCCGGCCGGCCAGCCTCGCGGCCTTCGTCGCCACGGCGCCGCGCCAGACTCGCCAGGCCGGCCGGACGCCCACGGCGCGGCGGGGACCTGGATGCGGCTGCAAAGCCATTCCGACTCTCTCTCTCGCACTCACGGGGCGTTGCGAGTCGGTGCGAGAGAGACAGAGCGGCGAAAAGCAGCGCGAGGCGCCTCGCGGGTCCGTTCGTCCGTCTCCTTGCGAGGCGCGGCGGGCCCTCGGTGACACCCGGACGCCCCCCGCCCCTCCCCCGAGCGCGGAGCCGCGTCGTGGGCGTGCGCTGTTCGCCGCCAAGCCGCGAACCGAGCCGGGCTCGGGTTCGATTCCCCGCCGACGCGGCCGGACTTTTGCTGCAGTGCCATCGCAGCCGCCACGCATGAATTGGGCGTTGGAGGCACACAGACACACGGTGGGGCGGGGCCGCCGAGGCGACGACGACGTCGCCGTCCCACGGCCAGGAGGTCGACGCCCACCCCACTGCAAGGAACGCCCTGCGAGCCGATAGCGTGACGGCGCCGCGCTCAAAGCGGCAAAGAGCGACCCGCCCTGGCGGCCTGGCGGCGGCCCTACACGGGCAGGGCCTACAGCAACACGGAACACACTGCGGCGCGGCCGCCGCCTGCCGATCGACGCGGCGTTCAACAAGTCGGCACAGCGCGCGGCGCGAGCGGCGCGAGGCCCCGGCTGCGGCGCGGCAAGCCGAGGCAAGGCGCAAGGCGGAGCAACGGGGAGCAACGCAGGGTACACAAGTGTACAGTACTCACCGTTCGGCGTACACCTCGCCCTTGTTGGCCACCTTGCGGGGCCGGCTGATGGCGCCGCCGTGGGGCTGGCCGGGCAGGGTGAGGCCGGGTGTCTGCAGGCCGGTGGCCAGGATGCCGTTGGCGGGTGGCGAGGAGGACCCCGTGGAGCCGGAGGACAGGGAGCCGGCGCGGCCGCGCGCCTCGCCGCCGAAGTTGTTGTTGGGGTCGTTCTTGGCGGCGTAGTGGGGCACGCTGTTGAGCGTGAGCACGGGCCGGGCGTTGTTCTTGTTGCGGCGCTTCTTCTTCTTGCCGGCGGCCTCTTCCTCGCGTTGGGGCGTCGCGGCGGGCGGCGTCCAGTCCAGGTCCTTGCGGAGGTGGCCGCGGCCGCAGCGGCAGCCGCACGCCTTGAAGGCCAAGTCGTACCCCTTCTTCGTCCACAGGTTCTGGCAGCGCTGCCGCTCCGACCACGACCGCGCCCGGCCGCACGACTTGAGGTACGTCAGCACGCTCTGCTCGAACTGGTCGAAGCACTCGCGGTGCATGTACTCGCCGAAGGTGCAGGTGTCATTGTTGCACACGACGCGCACGGCGTCGCGCAGGTCGTGGATCAGGGCCTCCTTGCCGTTGTTGTTGCTGGTGAAGACGCGCACGCACTCGGTGGGCGCGCAGCAGCGCGGCACGCGGGCCTCCATCCTGTCGTGGTGCATGTGCTGCATCGGGGGCTGCAGCTGAGCGGCCGGCTGTGGCGGCGGCTGTGCCGGCTGTGGCGGCGGCAGTGGTTGCAGGGGCGGGAACAGCTGGGGGTTGTTCGGCCGGCGTCGGGACATGACACGCGACACGCGCACCGTCTCTCTTACACTATCATTTGTACTCGCAGTTTATAACAGTCACTTTCCCCTCCGTGGGAAATAAAATCTAACAACACGCAAAACAGTCAAACGCTTCGCACTCAAAACAGAATCACACGTCGCCGGTAGTGCCGGCTAGTCTTGACTAGTCTTGACGCCGGTAGGGCCTCGGCCACCAGACAGCCCGGTCTCTCTCAATAAAGCACTCAACAACAACAATTCTGAGACGGGGGAGTCCGGTGAACAACAAAAAGACGGGCGCCTTAATATCACAAGAGCAACAACAACATTGATATGGTGTGCCGGCGTTCGCCTCGCTCGCCGCGCTGCCCTGCTGCACTGCCTCGCCGCTCCGCTCCACAACCTTCCCTCGCCACCTCTCGCTGGCGACTGCGCGGCCGGGAGAGAGAGACGGCCGGGGCCGGGCGCGGCGCGCGTAGCTGGCAGGCTGGCGTAGCGTAGCCGCGTGGCCGCGTCGGCGGGAAGCAAGCGAAGCAGGCGGCCGGCCGGCCGGGACTCGCGCGGCCTGCTGCTGCCTGTGCTGCTGCCTGCGCCGAGTGCCGCGCCGCGGAGTGGAGAGTGGAGGGAGGAGGGAGGGAGACAGGGAGGCCAGACGCAGGGGAGGACCGCGCTCGCCCCCGCCGCGCCCCGCCGCGCCCTTCCCGCCCCGCCTAACCGTGAACTTAAGCCGAACGAAAACCGAAAGTGAAGAGTGGCGTCGGCGCGGCGTCGGCGTCGCTCGGCTCGCCGGCGTGCTGCCCTGACTAGTTCAGCCGGCGCCCGCCAGAGGGCGCTCGCGTAGCGGGACCGCGGCGCCACAGCGTCGCGCCGCACCACGCCGGCCACGCCGCGCTCGGATGCCGGTACGGCACAGCAGACTCGTACCGAGAGTCGTCGCTCTGTCTCTCTCGCACCTACACGGCACGCCCCACGAGTGCGAGAGAGACAGAGCGACGAAAGACTGAGAATCAGTATGCAGTGGCCGCTGAGGGAGATGTCGCGTTAGGGCACGCTTTCTTTGGACTGAACCAAGTTTTGTCGAGTGATTGCGCACATGGGTGGATTCGAACAGGCATGTTGGATGTTGAACAGTGAACTAAAACGACGTGCTCCCGGCTATGGCAGCGAGTGATTTACTCACAACAGGGTAGACAGACCTTTTGCCACGACGCCAAACGGATAGACTACTTCACGTGGCCGAGATGACGTCATGCTATTTTCATCACAATGCCATTTCCCTCCGATTTTCTACGAAAGAATTCTTGGTTGCGCTTAATACAGGGTGGCGCACACCCACGGACGCCTGCGGACTCGAAGATGCAGGCCCGCCGACACGGCTGCATCCGGGACTGCCTACCCTCCAGGCGGCATTGCCTCTTAAGGTTCAAGGAGGCCCGCCGACACGGCTGCATCCGGGACTGCCCTCCAGGCGGCATTGCCTCTTAAGGTTCAAGGAGGCCCGCCGACACGGCTGCATCCGGGACTGCCTGCCCTCCAGGCGGCATTGCCTCTTAAGGTTCAAGGAGGCCGCGCCGACCGGCTGCATCCGGGACTGCCTGGGATGACAGGCGGCATTGCCTCTAAAGGTTCTAGAAAGCTGCGGCAACCGGCCGGACCACCTGCTGGGGGGGCCTTTAGCAGGCCTCCTGCCCCACCTGAACCCAACATACCAAACTGGGCGCAGTGCCAAAGTGAGAAAACGAATTCGTCGTTTTGCCGTTTCTCGGATCATACGGGCGGCTTGCCTCGAAAGGTTCGAGAAAGGGGTCTCGGCAGACCGGCCTGGTGTGCAACCCAGCGGAGGCCGCCCGCAGACTCGGGCCTCCAGCCCCCCCCCAAGGGGCCCCGGGAGCCCAAAAAACACGCAAATGCCGGCCCGGGCGACCCGGGAGTGCCAGGGGCAGAGAAGAGCGAAGCTGCCGCGTATAAGCGTTTCTGGCAACACTCGCCCTCATAAAGGACGCCGCAATGAGTGCGAGAGGAAAAGGGGCGACGAAAAGGGCTCTCGGAAACAGTCTGCGGCTGCTTTGGTGTGCAGGTGACGCGCAGCGGAGGCCGCCCGCAGACTCGGCGCCTGCAGCCCGCGCGCGTCGACGCACGAGGGGTTGCCTGCGCAGCGGCGCACTGCCGTGCACTGCCGCGCTCTGCCGCGTCGCCGGGCATTGGGCGCTGTGTAGGTGCGACAGAGACAGAGCGAAGGCTCGCCGCGTGGAGTAAGCAGTTTGTGGCGAACACGGTGGCAGCGCCTCGAGTAACCACGCCGTCAATGTGTTGTGATAGGAAAGGCAAGAGAGGATAAAGTCAATTAAAAGTTAATTGTGTCGGGGTGATCTTGACCCTGCCGGTCGCACCCCTGCCCCGTGGAGCCGGACTTTGGTCAAGGTCACCGTCGTGCCACCGCTGAACTACGCCGCCCACCGTCGTCGTACTTTGGTCCAACGCCTGCAGACTGACTCCGAGAGTCCTTTACGTCGCTCTGTCTCTCTCGCACTCAGAAGTTGTTCCGCACATGTGCAAGAGAGACAGAGCGACGAAAGTGAGTCTCGGAATCAGCCCATTGGGGCTTACCGGCAGGGTGCGGACCCAACTACAGGACAACTTTCGAGGAGGCCACAGCGCTATTCCGTGTCTCGCGGCGCGGCGGCGCGGCCACCGTGCCGAACACCTTGCCGAACACCGTGCCGAACACCGTGCCGAACACCGTGCCGAACACCGTGCCGAACACCGTGCCGAACACCGTGCCGAACACCGTGCCGAACACCGTGCCGAACACCGTGCCGAACACCGTGCCGAACACCGTGCCGAACACCGTGCCGAACACCGTGCCGAACACCATGCCGAACACCGAGCCGAACACCGTGCCGAACACCGTGCCGAACACCGTGCCGAACACCGTGCCGAACACCGTGCCGAACACCGTGCCGAACACCGTGCCGAACACCGTGCCGAACACCGTGCCGAACACCGAGCCGAACACGGCGCGGCCCGCGCGGCGCGTAACGAAGTCAGGGCTCCATTTCGTCGCGTCTTGCGTCTTGGAGTCCATGCATGATTAGCGGCGCAATTTCACCGCAGCGTCAAGGCGAGGGAGGGTGCGAGTGGGGCACGAGGGTGTGAGCTAGTGCGTGGGGCCCGGCCCGCCCGGCCCGCGGGGGAGGCTGCCTAAATGAATGGGTGCCGTGCCGCGCGGTGCTGCGCGTCGCTGAAAAGGGGTAGGCAATAGGCAACCCAATTAACCAGCAGCGCCATGCACGCCCGGGGCCGCGTCGCCTCAAAACTACATCCAGCAACAAAATGGAAAGTGATGTTCCCCGCGGTCCACACACAAGGCACCGTCCCGGGGACCCGGGACACACACACAGACGCACACGCACACACACACACACACACACACACGCGCGCGCGCGCGACCGCGCCCCGTGGTGCAAATGGCTTTGGCGAAATCGCTCAACAATTTATAACGCCATCGGGCAGCGCGCGTGGCTCCGGGACGAACAATAGAATCAGCGGCCAGCAGCAGGGAACGGTACAACACGGCGGGGCGGGGCGGGGCGGGCGGTAAGCTTTTGCGCAAACAGCGCGCGGGCCCCTGCTTTCCCCGACAGTGTGTGCGTGCGAGTGCGGATCGGGGGCGGCGTGGGGGTGGCGTGGGGGCGGTGCGCCGCGGTGCGGTGTTTGTCCTTATACGTGTCCTTGTCACCACATCCTCACATCCTGCTAACTAAGGTGTCTATCCACTCTGCTGCCCGCGGTCCCGGCGGCCCCGGCCGCCCCGTCGGCGGCGCCCCACAGCCACACCAGCCTGGATGGCCAGGCGGGGCGTGAAATGCCGGCGCCGCGCCCCACAGTGGGTCAGAAGATGGGTGGGGGTGGTCAAAATCCCGGACGCGTTTTGAGCTTCAAAGTCACTGAATGGGACTCGAGACGAACGTGTGAGCCCATCAACGGATTGCTCTCCGCACGTTCGGTTCGAGTCCCATGTAGCGACTATGGAGCTCGAAACGTGTCAAGAGTTTTTGCCACCGGCGCCGGTGCCGGTCCCCTGGCCTGGCCCGCTGTGCACCCTCGTCTCCAAGCAGACGTGGCGACAGCGCTAACCACGTGGTGTGGTTAGACCGCGCTTCGTACCGACACACAAACACATACGCATGCAGGCGCGCTTACCACACACACACACACACACACACACACACACCGCGGCGCGAGACTGTAAATCTGGTGGGTTTCGCCGCAAGAAGGTACGGTTCCCAAGTTCCACTCTTGTGGCAGTTGTCGCGTAATTTTATTCCCTCGTGGTTCTTGCCGCCCGGACTGACTATACTGTACTGCCACTGCCGGACCGTGCGGTCCATCATTTAGCTCGAACCGGCCGATCCACACAGTGCTCCGTCGCCCCGTCTGTCTCGCTCCCCTGCACGGAACGCCCCGCGAGTGCGAGAGGGACCGAGAGGGACAGAGCGACGAGAGGCAACGACCAGGCCGCTGTTGTACGGGCACGGCGGCGCGCGGTCGATGGGTCGTTTGGTCGCGTCCTGTCCTCAACGGATTGGCCGCGCTGTCGGCCGCGCACGCATTGGAGGCAGCGCAGAGCGACGCGGAGCGACGCAAGCCAACTCCATTAAAAGGAAGGTCTATCCGAGCTAGCCGGGCTCAGCGGAGGAGCACCCGTGTTATGGATGTCGCCAGTTCAGTAACGGCACGCATTAAGCGGTCACGGAACCCTCCAAACGAACCGATGCAGACGGGGCGCGCCACACACACCAACGCACGCACACACCAACACACACACACACACACACACACACACACGCGCGCGCGCGCGCGCGCGCGCAAAAGCAGAAGCCGGGCAAGGCGGCGAACGCATGTCGACTTCTCGTCATTGATACTCCACTGGTGGTGGTGGTGGTGGTGGTGGTGGTGGTGGTGGTGGTGGTGGTGGTGGTGGTGGTGGTGGTGGTGGTGGTGGTGGTGGTCGGGGGGGGTGGTGGGGTGGTGTGTGCGGGGTGGCGGCGTGGGGTGTAGATGTAGTGCTGATGGTGGTGGGCTGGCAGCTGCGGTGGTGGTAGATGTGGTGGCGGTGGTGGCGGCAGGGGCGGCGGCAGTCCCGACCGAGGCACGTACGTCGCGGTTTTACACTCTATAAAGAGGCGTCCTGTTTGCCCTGGCCGTGGCCGTGCTGAGGCCGAGGCCGATTGGCAGGCGGGCGGCACGCCGCGGCCTGGGCTCGCCTCGGCTGGCCTCGCAGCGATAAGCCCCAGGGGGAGCCCTTTAGCCTTTTACTACCCATGCAAACTGCCTCCCCGCGCGGACGCGGCGGACGTCAACAAGGAGGTATGAAAAATTCAGCGCACGGGTGCGGGCGGGTCCAGGCGGCGTCCAGGCGGCGTCCAG